AGTTTTAGGGTTTCGGTTTAGGTTTAAAATTTAGTTTAGAGTTTAGCCCGGCCTGGACCCAACCGTCTACCCGAGGCAATGGCCCAACATGTACCCGAGGCAATGGCCCTGCAGGATTCACGAAGCACCATGCTACTGCAAAGTAGCTGTCTAATATGTTCATGTCAGTTAACGTATGAACCAATTACAATGCGATCTAAAGGCATGAAATGTCCAAAACCCTTAAACCTTTAAAGCCTGAACCCTACACCATTTGTACACGAAACCCCTTAACAATGGCATAGGGATGATATTAGGGTTTTGGGCACCCAGCGTTGAGTCTTGCTTTTCGTGGAAACAGGGTTTTCGGCGCTTAGCGTGGAACTCCTGCTTCTTGCTTGTCAAAATAATAAAGATTGTGTAAAATAAAATAAATATAACCCATAAACCTTGCTTAGACCGGGTCTCTTAGCCATGAAACTCCACGTGCTAGTTTATGCAACTAAAAGTTTATGGCTTAGCGTGAAACCTTGGTTTGTATTGTATGGAAACAGGGTTTTTGGCGCTTAGAATTGAACCCGGGTTTTTTAATGAAAAGAGTGTTTTTGGCGCCTAGCGTGGAAGTCTTGGTTCTTGCTTCTTAGATTAGACTTAAGCATAATGTGGAATGTTTGTATATTCACACCTATTGGCATAAGAGTGAATACACTTATCTCACTTCGAAACCTTAAGACCGTAAACCCAAACCCTAAACCCTATGAAAGTAAGGTTTTGGGCGCTACGCGTGGAGTCCTACTGTTTTCCTAGAAACAGGGTTTTCGGCGCTTAGCGTGCACCCCTTGTTTTTCGCATGTCATTACTTGTAAACTAGTTCGCTTTTTATTTTTTAATATACATATTTAAATAGATAATAACATATTAAACTTGAACTCTTTTCGGACACTTCAATTTTTACTTTACTATTAGTTAAAATAGTCAGGTTTTTGGCGCTTAGCGTGGAGTCTTAAGTTTTAGCTAGAAACAGGGTTTAAGGCTCTTAGCGTGGAGGCTGCTTTTGGGAGGGAAACAGAGTTTTGCCAGCCTTGCAGTCTGGCTTTTTTTTGAAATAATGTCAATTTTGGTGAGTAGCTGGAGTGTTGGTTTTGCATTTCCCAGGTTCTCGGCGGCTAGCGTGGTTGGTTCTTGGAAGATTAAACATCGACATTCTGTCCATTCATAATGTAGACAGAAGCTTTGTTTTGCAGCCGCCAAGTAATGAAATACTGACCTAAAGCCAGCCATTGTCCTCAGCAGCTTCTTCAGCCCGGCGGTTCTTGTCACTTTTACTCGGCTGTCAGGTACTCGGACGTGGTGAATGGTGGCCGTGTCCCGAGACGAATGTTGCATAGCATCAGGGGGAATGATTGGAATCAAGCAGCTAGGAGGCTTAGAATCAATTCACGTCTGATTCTTCGCAGCATGCTTGCTCGTTTTCGCTGCCAAGCTTCCTCAAGTTTTGCTCGGAGTCTCTCCCCTCCCTTTGCATCATGGCCGGTAAGGGCTCGGGAAAAACAGCTGCAGCGGGATCGGCGGGTGCAGGCACAGGCGACTGGGTTGCACATCAATCCTTTGTATTCGGTGGCAATGCCCCTAAACCAAAGTCAGAACACTTTAACTTTATTGCCGCTTGAGGTGAGAATGGCACTCGTGGGCCCAAGTTTCGGGACTGCTCCCAGAAGGACGTGGAGGCGGTCGGCGGCAAGATGGGCCCCCAGTGCGAGACGGTGCTGGCGACTTGGGCCCAGGTCCTGGGCAAGGCGTCCAAGAACATAGCCAATCGCCGGATCAAGCTTGGCCTCGTGAAGCAGCTGAAGACGAAGAAGAATGACGGGTCAGTGCCGCCGCCGAAGTACTGCGTGAACAAGGAGTGGCCGAACCTGCAGAAGATCATGGTGCAAGTGCTCCAGAGGACGGGCTTAAGAATTAAAGTTTGCCATTACATCACACGGAGGGGCACATTTCAGACGACTTCTCAAGCTACGGTTTAACCCTTTCTCACATGACAGGGCCTTGGACACGAAGATCACCAGTGTCGTGATCCTGGTGAACCCTCCGGGCGGCTCGCTGGCTGTTCCGTCGCCGAAGAATACTCCGACGAGCATGGCGTTGGCAAGCTGCGTCAGCGGTGAGTGTAAGGAGGGCGGCCCTGGCATCGTGCAGCAGGTCCAGGTTCCCCAGCCGAAAATCCAGGCCATCGACACCCACCTCAAGGTTGGGCTCTGCTTGCAGAAGGGATTCAGGGCTTAGGTTTTCGGGTTTATGTTTAATTTCCGGCAGGTGGCGAAGATCGACGGGCGCCTTCCGATCTCCTATCCGACTGCCAACAAGTCCCTGATCTACATCTTCGGCTACAATGCCCAGGAGGCCGGTGACTCCTTGGACGACACCACGGTTCAGGAGCTGCGATCTCTGGGCTACGAGGGTGGCTCGAAGACCCGAGCTGCCGACACCGGGCCGCAAAGTTCTGAAAATTTGAATTGTTCAGTAGTAGTACTGAACTTACTCACTCATTCACGAACTGATCAGCCCAGGTGGCGGGCACGATGCAGGACCTTCTTGACAATGGCAGCAAGGTGAAGATGGCGAAAAAAGTCATCCGGGCGGCGACCAGGAAGGCCTCGGAGCGGCGCGTTAAGCCTTGCCCGCACTGCGGCCAGGACGTGACTTGTTCCAGCTAAGTGTCTCTTCATCCCTAGCTGGTCCCAAACTTTCTCTTGGGCCTGGGTGATCTTGCAGAGGCGTTGCACTTATTAATCAGCCCAGGTGAACCAACCGCCGGCGAAGAAGGCCAAGCAGAACCCGGCGGCGTCGCCTCAGAAGTCGAAGAAAGCCTGAGGAGCTTTAGAGGCATCACGATTGCTTCCGGACTAGTCATAAATACTAAGTCTGAATTTAGTGAGGGAATGCCGCTTGCTGTTTGGATCATTTCTTTCAAGACAGAAAATGCTCCAGAGTACAGTCCTCGGAAGCCTGGTGGTGGGAAAGCAGCTGAGTCGAGATTCAAATTAAAGAATAAAGCAACAATGACAAGTCTGATGGGACTCTCGACGGGTGCTGTAGTGTCAGGTCGCCGGCTGTGCATTGCCAAGAGTCTTAGCTTCAGAGGCACCGCCATGCAATGCACCGTCCCAGCAGAGTAAAGCTTGGCTGCATGCCGGTCTTAGTCTTTGATCGTCACCGACAGCACGTCGCTGAGAGTGGCAAAAGCAGCGTGTGGGATCCATACAGAGACTTGTGGAGGCACTCGTCACATAAACTTATGCTGTTCGACGTGACGATTGAAGGTCGTCGGGTTTAGAAGTTGGTGCTTTGAAGCTCTGTGACGACTGAAAATCCTTCACCCCAAAACCCTGACACCCTGAATCTCCAGCCTTTGCCCTGGGCACCCAAACTCCTGCGGACCTACCAGTAACCGCCTGCGGGTTTGAGGATTTGAGTTCTTGCGGCTTTGGGCGTTCTGGGTTGCAGGGTGGGCTGCTGAGGCTGCGGTGTTCTGTGCTTGGGGATTTCGGGTTCAGGGTTTAGGCTCCAGGTTTCGGGGATTATGCGTGTAGTGCCTGCCGTGCTGGGTTTTGGATTTCCGGCTTCGACTTTGCATTGGAGGGCAGAGGGCCGGAGCTTGGGGCTCAGGGGTTTGGGGGTGTTGGGTCTTGGGGCTCTTGTCTTTAGGACTGTAGGCGTTGCGGGGTTAGCGGGGTTAGGTCTCGGTGGAGGCAGGGTTTCAGTCTTGAGTTGGATTTGTCGCATGTAGGGCTGTGTAAGTTCCCAGTCTTGCTAAAATGCCGGATTGCTTTATGGGTACGGGTTTTTGCAACAGGAACTGGCCTTCAGGGCTTTCGGGGTTTAGGTTGTCCCTGCTGTTCATTTCAGCCCCCATGATCTGCCCCTCTTGCTGAGGCTGGGGACGGCCGGCGTTGGCCCAGACAGGCGGATGAGGCCGGTCTGAGGCGGAGTTTGTTGGTGTTGGGGCCAATAGTTGATGGGTACATTGCATTCGGGGCATAATAAGCGTTGGAGGTTAAGGGCCAGGGGTTTAAGGGTTTACGGTTTCAGGGGACATGGCCCAGTCAATTTAGAAATTGCAAGAGCCCCAACTCCCCGAACCCCTGCTTGCCCGAGACGATTACACCGGTTTGAAGCTCGAGGGCCTAGGGGCTTCGGCAGTAGGCCTGTGGTTCTTGGGTTCGGGGCCGTAGGGTAGTCATACCTGTTTCCGTGCTAGGGGTCAAGTAAGGCCCGTGCCAGTAGGATTTTTCGGTGCCGGGGTGCAGGGGTCTACAGCCGAGTGTTTGATTTTCGTGGTATTGTAAAGGTTGTTTCTTCTTCCAACTCACTGTGTCTAGCCTGTTGGGGTTTCGGACTCCGGATTAGGGATTCAAAGGTTTCGGCGAATGTCCGGAGAATAGGTTTCGCCGGATATAGGGAGAGTTCGCAGGCTCGGAACCCCGTAATCCTTGTGGTGAAGGGGAGCGATGTTGCTTTCAGCGTGCTTAGAGTTTCTGGAAATAGCTTTTGGGCCAGTCCGAGACACCTGTTAATTTCAGACAACGGCTCAGTCTTTAGGGCCTCGATTCGAGCCTTAGTAAGGCTCGCTTGTTCAGATGACTCACCTGAGTGCTGTAGGCCAATTAAGGCTTGTGCCGTCGGGTTCATGCACTTCAGGGCTTCGGGATCAGAGCTGCATCAGGGTTTTCGCATTAGGGATGAGGGGTGGGGGTTTGCGGATGTTTGCGGTAGGGGTTTACAGAAGGAAGCCTGTGTCGGGGCTTCGGGGCTCGGGTTCAACGTCGAGTTTGACAGAGTGCGGCAAGCAAGAAGAAGCCAAAGCCGCGGAAAGAGTCCGCCATCTGAAAGACGGCCGCAGGATTGGGAAGACCGCCGTGTCTTTCTCTTGGTCCAAGGACCAGGTCAGCACGTTTTCGGCCGGGACCTTCGCCACCTGCATTGGCACTGTGCCAACCGGGCACCGAAGAGAACAGGCAGCAGCTGGCAGAAGGGGATGCGGTGGCCAGTGCATCAGCGGCGCCTCCAGAAGCACCAGACACGGCTGCAGCGGCTGGCCGAAGTCGCGACGAGGTTGAAAGCCTCATGTCCAGGCCACGGCGGACACGGTTTAAGTGGCCGAAGAAGACCCCACAAGAAGGCGAGTGGAACAGGCGCTGCCTGGAGAAACATCGCCCTGAGAGGGCTGGCCCGAAGACCCTGAGCCCGAAATCATAGTCTTGTCTCTAGCCTTAACTCCTAAGCTTCGTTTGGTATCATCCATGTCCCAAAATTCCTTGACCCCCCCTAGGATAACTGGGGCCGAGTCTCAGGCCTGCAGGGCACCCTTGTGGATTAAAGCCCAAACTGGCAAAGTGCTCCGTAAGATCTGATCCCCAATCTCGACAAACTTCACCATAACTAGGCCAGGCTCAATTGCTTGCCCGCATCTTGTTCTTTTGAGGGATGGGCATAATGTATTACATTAAGCAGACATTGAACTGAGTCCCAGTGCCCGAAAAGCCCATATTCTCAAGACCGGGGTCCTATGCTTTGAGGAATAGCTTCGTGCCCGCTAAGATTGAAGGCATATCCAACTTTCCGGTTTGGCCCTAGAGCGGTTTGGTCTTTTGGGGTTTTCTGATTTGGTGCCTTCGGGGGTTGCAGTGTCACGGGCTGATGGTTCAGGTGTTAGGGGTTCAGGGATTTGCCATGTTGGGAGTCGCCGGTGCATGTCATAGTTAGGGCTTCGGGGTTAGGTCGGTTCTTTTTGGGGTTAGGTTTAGCTTCACGGAAGATGTCACCTCCGTCCAACCGCAAGGCTGGCTTCCGGCAAGCGAAAGGCCGGGAACAAGGGTTGTCGCCAGTTGCGGGTCTAAAGTCTACTATCTTGTTTAGAATTCCAAACCTAGGGCTTTGGACTCCAGGAGTGGCCTAGCAGGTGCTTGCGTGTCTGGTCGAAGGGCCAGGACTTGAGGGGTTTGGGTTTTGCGGCTTGTAAAGTTTCTAGGATGCAGGGTTGAGGGGCTGAGAATAGGGCCTAGGTTTGGCGTTTAAGGGTCGAGTCACAGATGCAGG